AATATTATGTTATCTATATACGTTTGTGCTACATGTACAATATTGTTTATTTATGAATACTTAAAATTTGAAATTTTTAATTGTATAAAATATATTCTGGAAAAATTAAAAATAGGCAATTTTTAAAATAATATTGATGGAAGAACATTTATTTAAATAAAGTAGACGGTATTTTTTTTTTTAATTTTTTAAAATATCAATATTTTCTTATCGTGTTTAAGCATTAAAATGTATTCTTGTTAGATCATAAAATTTATGAACATGACCTCAAATGTTAAAACCGTTGAACACATGAAACAAGATTTAGGTGCCATTTAGAACACGCACGTGTACTGCAGGAAAAATATGACTTGTTGACTTACTAGCTATCTACCTATAAATGTAGAAATATTAAATTTTTATTGATGATATACTGCTTCTTGTCGTGACACCTAATATTTACGAAATTATGTGTTTGTCAGCATAAAATATATTAAATCGCTTCAATGAAAACGAGCACAGTATCCTATTAAAATAAATGTTTCATCAGAATCGATCAGTAATGGTTTAAAATTTCATTACACTAATCAATAGGCACTGTTCGAAAAATGTTCAATTTCGAACTTAAAATGTCTGTATAAAGAACTGTGTTTAGGTTGTATACATTTTTAGATTTTTTGGCTATAGCATGAAATATTTATGGGAATCATTATTTTAAATTTCCAATACTTAGCTATAAAAATTGAACATTTTTTGTTTTCTAACTACAAAATAAATCGAAAAAGTTGTTCAAAATTTGAACTGCAAATACTAATAAAAAGATCGTGCCAATGGATCTTTAATATTTCTCTACTGCTTTACAAATACTTATAAAGAACCTTGTATTAATTTTTAAGCTTTTTGACCTAAAACAAAATTTCATAACACACATTTTTTATAGAAAAAAACTAAAAAAGTGGAAATTTCAAATGTCTATAAATAACTCTAGTATGATACATTTAATGTAAAGAAAATGATAAAATGAACATTTAATGAAAATAACAAGAAGCTATACTTATTAGTTATTAGTTTTTGAATAACAACAAAATAAAAAAATTGTTCCATGATTAATTTAAGAGTGAATATTCAATGTTAAACTTCAAAAGCTCGTAAAAAATCAATTCGACTTTCCAGAATTTTTTTTTTTTAATATATGACAATTTAACGGGAATCATGTATACAAATTTCAAATCTTACATAAACATAGAAAAATGTATGAATTTCTAACTCGAAGTAGTTTGCCAATTTTCTTGATTTTGATGAAGTTTGTTGACATTTTAACTATTTAAACGACCATAAAAAAATTATTGTGGAATTATGCTCAGCTTTTTTTTTAATTTCCACTAACAAAACTTTTAAAAACGTTGTATTAAATTTTCAAGTTTTTAATTAAGCAAAAAATGTTTTGTCGGCAATTATTTAAAAAAACTATTAAAACCTGAAACTTTTATATGCCAATAAATAGCTCAAAACAAAATTGTTATTGAGCGTAGAAATTGCTAATAAAAACATTTTGTGAAAATTTCATGTATCAACGGTTAATACAAATATCAGTTTTTACCACCTTTTTTGAAAACTATTTGGAATTTTTTATTGTCCCCCTCCCCCTTCAACCAGTAATGATGCTAATAAAGAAAATTTAAGCATTTTCACTGTCCTAAAAGGTGATGACAGACACAAAAAAAAACATACAAATAAATACGTAAAATCAATACATTCTTCGCTCCGCTCAACATCTAAAATAGATTTATTGTAATAATAGGTAGGTACCAAAACATAAAAGTAACCATATTCTTTTTAAATTGGAAGTTTTGTAACAATAGTAATTGCTTATTGTTAAGATCCGTTTGAAAACGGGGAACTTAGATTGCTTTCCGAGTGATCTTTTCTAGCTTGTTTTATTCGAGTAAACTTTTATTTTGTTCTAGAAGACAATCCCGAACACGTCTCTCCTACTAGTCCCACCAACAGCAAGGACGAGTGTGGTACAAAACTTATACAAACATGAAAGGATATTAATAGTATTCAATTTCTTTGTAATTCTATAAAAAAAAACGAGAGTTCAATATTTGATCGGTTCTGTTTATCTGCAGCAGAGTAAAAATGTAAAATGAACGTTATCTGCATGCATTATTATTATATTATATATTAAGGAAAATATCACGTCCACGATAAAATATAATATTATTACATTGGACTCTTTGTTTAACACTGTATTTTTTAAAATTAAGTTTTGTTTGACAATAAACGCTACTAAAATATAATCTATGACTACCAAGAGTACAAATAGATGTATATAATATTGTATATACAGTATATTGTATAATTTATAATGTATAGTATACCGAGTAGGTATAGTGTATACAATTATATAATACCTAGTAAAACACATTTAAAAAAAGCAAATATTTTAACTACGACATTCATCTTGACACTGCTGTAGTACAAAACGAATGATGACGACATAAAACATATACTAAAACTAAAAAAGCAGCAATGCATATTAATCGTATTTACTATACATTTTAATAGGTAATACATAAAAAAAAGATCATTATTCATATTGTACTGCATAATATGCACCTTAAGTAAATATTAATACATTCTAGTGGATATATTCATGTGTATATTTAAACTAATAGTACCTATATTTATATTTTTAATAGAAATAGGTAATACGTATTTCGGTGTTTGTACAGTTTTTTTTAGTTGTTACATCTATTGCAGCATTACGTTATTGTTTTCGGTATTTATTTATATTTTTCAGCCAATTCCGAGTGATAGCAGTTCAATAGTAAGAAAATGCTTAATCGTATACCTATATACTCATAACTAATACGCTTACATATACATCGATATTTTAATATTTATAACCATAATGAACAGCTCTTTAATTTTCCTAAGTTTTCACAACAATATACCTACTAAATAATAAATTTAAGAAATTTGCGGAGAAGTCTGTAATTTAATGGATTTTATTGTTTGTAAAATTACACATTAACCTTGAAAAAATGCACCTACTATTCATTAAAAAGTGAAATGAGTAGTATTTTAAAATTTTAATGATACGTTTCGCACAGAATAATAATATATAATTATTGGTGTGTAATTATTTTTCGTTTAAAAATTTAGTGTTTCAAAGTATATAAATATTATGGTAAAAAAGACCATGGTACTCATAATATATAGGGTGTATCACGAAGTTCTGACATATGGTCCATACGTCCATATTGTATATATGTCAGAACTTCATGATACAGAAATGTGTGCAACAAATCTAAACAAAACAAATTATTAATCGGTTTCAAACTGTCCACAGATATCATATATTATAATATTATAATTAAGTATATACCTACCACAAGACCATGAATTATTATGTTCCGAGATGAAATCCATCCGGTATTTTAGGCGATTATTCCAAGGCCGAGTATACGTGATATAATATTATACCACGTAAGTTTCATGCAATAATAATCATAAGTATACCTACATTTTAGTCCTAACAACACACTAATTATACCGGTGCACACGAATCATGCGTACATATTCGTCCCTTGAATCGCGTCTCACCTATTATCGTAAAATAAAGGGAACACGAAATGCGTCCAAGTCGAATTACCTATTAAAAGTATTTTTTTTTTTTTAAGTTTATGTTTTCCAAACTGATTTTCAATTACCTACATAGACGAATTATATTTTTTATGAAAATAATATTTAGTATTATAAAATAACCTAAAAAATTAATAATATTAAATTAAATATTTCCTACAAATATATCATTGTTATTGAATATTAGATTTTGTATAGTTTTTAGAGGTTTTGTATGTTCAATAAAAATATTACCTACGGACTATTATACGTCTATAACTATTGACTTTCCAATTACAACAATTAAAAATAAATACTTTAAATTATAAATTGTTTGTAAAATGTAAATTTTACTTGGCAATATTATGCTTTAGGAACCACTGTAGGTGAAAAAGTAACACGAAGGCGTCCCAGACTTCATTCGTCCAAGAAGGTTCCGCTGACTTTGAACGCGATTCTTGTGCGCCCAATAATAATTTTATTGCCCTTACCCCTTCCAGGTTTTGAAATATTATTTTGTCATTACACGATCACTACGGCAGATTTCATGAGGAACCCAGTTAAAACAATAATTGTTTCTTATCGCATGATATAATAATAACAGCTAGGGATATACTAAAGTAAAAAACATACTTATCTCAACTATTATAGGTTACACAATATATTATACACAGACATAATATTATAATGATAGATACATCGGACGGCATATTTGGTGTTTTGATTAAGTATCACATTTTGTTCATTTTATAATATAATATAATATTATTATACAGGTATATAAAAATTGCTATTTGCTAAAATCAAAAATTTAAATGTCTAACTAAGTATATAATTTTAATATTATAATATTTCTAAAACAATGGTAAATATATAATATATAACATAATGATACGCTTATAATAATAATATATACAAATATTTATATATAGACATATAGTATTATGAATCGTATACATATACAATATACATATAATGCATATATGCATATATATATAGAGAAACGTGTTATTTTTATAATAATAATAAAATGTGAGTTGGGGGTTAGTTATTAGAATATATACATGCATCATTGGTTTATGCCTCATTTTATATTTATAGGTAGGACATAAAAAAATATGCTTTCATAAATTAATGTATAATTCAATAATTGTTCAAATTGAGCAAAATTCATATTAATTTGACTCTTAGGCGTTACATAATATATTACATATATTATTTTTTATTACTAAAAAAATGTACAACATCGTGTCATCTCGCGTAGTAGTCAAGTACTATAATATTTAATAATACTTATTTCTGCGTAATGCATAGGTACAATAATAAAAACAAAAGTAGGTACAATAATTATTATTACAATAAAATTCTTACCTAAATCACATATTTCATTACTCGATTAGCCTTATATACGATATTCGTCTCGTCAGGATAGCTTGTGTTTACTATCTACGCGACACATTCGCACGAGTCCATAATATACATAGGTAATATACTGTACCGTATAACATTGATTCCGGTATACACGTGGTATCGTAACATTATTTCACATAATATATTATAGGAAAATACAGTTTGGGGCTGACGGTATATATACCTACTGTCTACTACGCGGTTTCGATTATATACCACGCGCGGTATACACATCGTCAACAGTCTTCTCGTTCGGAATGATACCACCTACCTACATACCTACATTATCGCGAATGCGTAATAAATAATTTATTACCGGTAGCGAATATAGCGATATAATAAAAAATTTAGGTAACGAAGATTTTTTTTGAAAATATTTTATCACGTATAACACGCACATTATCCATTTATTCGGTTGTATATTATATTATATTAACCGGGGATCTAAAATAATACCGAAGACGGTACCCGATATACATACCTAATACAAAACCCTTGTAACAGCTGTTGCAACCATATAACACAAACCTACCAATTTACCAAAAAAACAGTCCTTAATAATAATAGGTATATTCTACATTATACTCCAAACCACGGGCGTAGACAGAGGGACAGGGTTGTCCGACGGCCCATATTGGATCACAGCGATAAGCGGCACCAAATGTTCTTATCAAATTTGACAAAAAGTCGCGTCATACTAGCGCCATCTACAGCAATTTTAGATAATAAGTAACTAGGGAGCGCTAGTATAAAATGACTTTTTTTCGTATATATATAATATGCAATTCGATAAGCACATTTGAGGCCGTTATAATATTATTACTCGTCGTGCAACCATGGTATCTACAGAGTACAGGTACATCTATCTGTGTCCCGAAGGTTCCTGAAGCTCCCGGCTAAGAAAATGTCAGCAGGCAAGCATGAAAGGCTCGGGTCGATGACAGCCCGATTGAATGGTATTAGGAATAGACAATTTTTTTTTTCATTCAACTTAATTTTGCTCTGTTTAGTTCAGAAGTACAAAATTGGCGTCACACTTTTCTGAGAAGAAAATTAATCTCGAAATCTAAATTTTAGAAAATGTACACCTGTGAATGTTTTTATTATGAAACTTCAAAATAATAAAATCCAGAGGGAGACTGTATAGAAGAGTAAAATGTCCCATCAAACAAAATATTTCGTTCGAAATCAAAGTATTATTAAATCTTACAGCCTCCTAGCTCACCCACACAGAGTCCTGCAACTGCTCCCTCTGTCAACGGATCCCTTCCACCGATATTATATATAAAGACCTGTCTTCGGAAACAACAACAGCAACAACAACAACAACAACAACGATAACAACAAAGAAATACCATCAATCCCACGCACACAACAAAAAAGCAATAATTGTGCATTATAATATTATGAATTATATAATTATAATTAACGGAAGAAACAAGAAACAAACGGAACGGAGCACGTCTACACGTACACCTCGCCCCGCTTGCGCCTGTTGGTGGCCGGCGTCTTCCTGTCGTCCGTGCTGGACACGCTGCCGCTGGAACTGCCGCCGCATGCGCTGTCGTCCTTGTCCGAGTGGTGCGCGGCGGCCACCGTGGACGCGGTGACGTCGGTGATGAGCAGCCGCTGTGCGGGTGGCGTGGTCGCGCCGCCACCCACCCCCGACCCCGTGGTGATGCCCAGCGAGGATAGCAGCGGCCGGCTCATGGACACGGTGGACATGGCGATCGGGCTGACCGACATGGTGGTGTACACGGCGGTGCCGGTGAACGCCGGATTCAACACGCCCTGACAAACGCTCACGGCGCCGGTCACTCGGCGCTGGTTGTGCAACGTGCCCGACAGGTTGGGATCCATTTCTTGGATTGGAGACAACACCACCTGTGACGACAGCAAAACAAATCGTTTTTTAATCATTTTAATTTACAATATAATTATCCCGCAATAGTTATCAATATTTATTACCATCACGGAAAGATTCACAACTATACATTTGTTATTTTTTTTAAATTTATATTGTTACTTATTATGATTTAATAGGTAAAAGTTGATTTGGTTTTTCGCATCATTAAAAAAAAAAACATTTGATCTTAAAGGTTAAAAAAAATCTCAAAAATTTAAAATTCAACGACTATATCACGTAATATTGTACTAAACTGATATATTCTAATAATTGTTACAATTTTAAATGTTCGGCAAAGTATGAAAGTTCAATAATAGTTCGAACATGATTCAAGTTCCGGTTGTTCACAAGTTCGAGTTCGTGAAAATTTAAGTTAGACCCATCCCCAATTTTGATCATGACGCGTTTATTTGTACGTGTCGTACCTATACCTATTATTATTTACAAATACGTCTCAACCGGAGCCATCGTATTCGGCGCTGCTCAATTAGCCCTAGCTGTATTTTTTCGTAAACTTTAGTGCCATTATTATTATTAGAAGTATAACGTGATAAACACGTTTAAACTCTTTGGTCAGGTATTTTTTTTTGAAGCATTTTTGGTTTTCAATTTGGGTAATAATATACACACAGCGCGACTACGGTACTGCGATCGGTGCCTACGATCTACAATGACTTTCTCGAATGAGATAAGTACCCACAACCTATCTATTTACAACCGAATAATTAATGTTAAGACATTGTGATTTGGTATTGAAATGAAAACCTAAAAAATGGTCACTACCTACCTATATAATAACTTTCGTGTACAAAATGTAAAGTCGTAAAATTTGTTCGAAGAAAAAACGAAAAGAAGCATTATTTATGTGGTTTGAGCGAAAACGAAATCAGAGTTTTTATGCGGTTCGAACGAAAGCGCGTGTTGGGCGAAACCGGACCCGACCACACTATACATGATTTTGTGTTTCTATTATCAAACAAACCGTGATCAATTTAATTATATACGATCGTCTCAAAGAATAATTTAAAAAAGTGTCAAATTAGTTCCGTGACAAACGCGGGGTAAAGAAATTTAAAAAAAAAATGCAAACGAACCGCGATTAAAGCGTTTACACATACATATAAGAAAAATAAAAAATGAATAATAAAGTAAACATATATAATATGTTGTCGTGTTGATGATATCATAAAAAATTCAAAGCGAATGCGTTATTTTTTGGCATTGATCGTGAACATGAACGAATTACGTTTTTTTTTCTGACATAGATCACTGCATAATATGCGGATATGATAACTGCACGTAAGTCAGTATAGATCTTCCGCATCGGCCAAGTTTTCCTAACTGCTAAGCAACGGATATTAGGTATTACAATGTATTTTATAAGACAGTTTATACGGAAGGTGTTGACGTGTGCCCCCCCCCCGCCTCTAAAAATTGGTAATTTTTCTATTTTCTATTTTTTTTTGAAACGGACTTGATGGTTTTGGAAAATTATAACCACTGTAATAATACATATTTTCATGTTTAGATATCCATATTCTCGAAACAATAGATATAGAATTATTAACATTTTTGTCTTCCGCTTTTCTCAATGACCTTCCAAATGACCAAATGCATGCATTTAATACTATATGAATAAATGTATAGTTGGTGAGGTATACATATTTTAATAGCCAAGACTTATAATTTCTATTAAATGTCTTTATTTTTTTCGAAATAGCCACACCTTCGTTTATTTTTATTCGACATATTATATATTGTGCATAGCCGTTCAGATACACTACGACAACCATCATATTTTACATGCCGATAAGCAACCTATCTACCCACAAAATGTTTAAGGTATCGTGTTCACCCGATATAATGCAGATAGCCGCTGATAACTCGAAACACGAACTGTGACTATAATATAATATGATATTATATTGTATATGTATTACGGTGGTGGCGGAGGAATTTAAAAAAAACGAACGAATCACGCGAAAATTTACTGATTTAAATCGGCGGCGGTATACATATATATTGTAGATATATTGTGTTTAGTAAATTCGTTTTAAAATACATAGGTATTGTATGACAGTGGCACGCCCGTCCCGTGACTGCTGCGTGCAAAATTGCAAACACACTGCAAAATCGGTTTCAAAGTCAACGATTGCAGACGATATTACCAGGTATGTATAGGTAGGTACTTGTAATGAGTACTTGCCATATTTCATGGAGCTTATATTATAACCTAGGCACTAACTAATTTACTATATGTACACTCACATATATTATAGCAAATACGATGTCCACCTGCATAACACAGGTACGAATACTTCTACTGTTTTACATCTTACAGTCGAGCCCGAATTTGGTCCTCTAAACTAGTCTAAATGATATTTTAGTGTCGACTAGTGGTCGACCAGAGCCTGCCTCCTCCCCCCACCCCACCATAGACACAATTAGACCTCAAATACGTGGAGTTGTATAATTGTAAACCCATAAAAGATGGTATTTCATTAGAATATGATAATAGTTAGATGTAGACCTACAAAAAAGAAGGGGCGCTTAAGACCTTTACATCTTCCTTGTTGTGCAAACACGGTCCTCCTTTCTGGAGAGGGAAATAAATAAGTGGGAAATTAGAGAACCGCTCTGCTGTACAGCATTATAGGTGCAGCTGGTCATTGAACAGTAAGTCATATTGTAGAGTATGTGTTAAATTTGTGTTTAATAATAAATGAATTCTCACGGAAAACGATTCCATACGAAGACAGTCCGTCTGCTTACATCATTACCTAAGTATATTTTATGATACATAAATTATACAGGATGATTCGGCAATCATGCTCACCCCTTTTTTCTTCAATAATGCAGTTACTTAAAATCTGATTTTTAGAATTTTTTAAAATTAGTACTTACAAAAACCATATTTTTAAATTCTTGAGTTTTTTTGTATTACTTGAAGTGTCCTGTAGAGATACAAACTTCCGTTTTTCAAATAAGAACCACCTTTTTCAACTGTAAATTATCCAGTGAATAGTGAATAATTTTTTGAAAAATTAGGCGTTTCAGAATCAAAAAATTCGTAGGAGTAGTTTTTAAGTTATTTAACTTTATGTTCCAAAAAAGGTACACGGTAATGGGTTTATAAGAAAGGTGGACTGTAGTGATTTGAAAATCATAAATATTAATCTATCAACATCAATAATTTGTAAAAATTGCCAAGGTTTAATAAATGTTAGTTCCAATATTACGGCTATTTCATATTTTTGTAAAACAATTTCTTATCACTATTCTACCATAGTACAAACATTTTAATTACTAATTAAGTACTCATATGAATTACTCATATGAATTTTGAATTAGGTACATCCAAATTTTCAAAAAAATTATCCACTAAATAATTTACAGTAAAGAAGGGGGATCTCATTTGAAAAACAAAAGTTTGTATCGCTACATGGCACTTCTTTAGTACAAAAAAATTAAAGAATTTGAAAAAATTGTCTTTACGTATATATTTTTAAATTCCAAAAATCAGAATTTTAATAAATGTATTATTAAAGGACAAAATAGGGATGGTCATGCTTGGTGAATGATTAAGTATAATACAAACATACACAGAATATAAAATAAAATATAAATATAAATTTTATATTGCTACTAAACTAATTTATTTCACTACCTTTACAATAGGCGGAATTAATTTTTACCGTACATTTTACTTTAAAGAATTATATTGTGTGTATAAAACATAATAATATAATGATATACTTTAAATTATTCAATAAAACAAATATAATTTTATGTTATTATTAATACATAAAATACATACCTATATCGTTACTATTCGTTAAAATATCTAATTTCCTCTCAATTTTAGCTTAAAATTCCTATAAAAAAACTGTGCTTACACATTTGTTGATTTCTTGATTACAGTATTATGAACTAGCTACAAGAAACCTTCTATTAAATTTTCAATCCTTAACTTAAAATCTGAACATTTTATAAATTTATAACTACAAAATCATTAGCAAAGTTTCATCATATTTGTCAAAATATTAACTTAAAATGCCTTGAAAAAAATATCTTGCGAATAAATCATTAATATTTTTAAAAAATCGTTTGAGAAGAAATAGTTAAATTACAAGTGAATTTGCGCTTCGATCGTTCATAAAAAGTTTATTTGACTCCCCAGTGTTTTTAATATGTGAATATTAATTATTTATTTTGAATAGGTATCTAATATTATAATAAATTTAGGTTATTTATACAAACTTTGTTTTTTGGTTTGATAAATTTCATCGAAATTTTAACTTTTTTAAAAATATTGTGACTATATAATTTTCAATTTTTTTAAATTATTATGTTAACAACTAGAGTACAAAAATATAATTTTTTTTCAAAATGTTGTCTTAAAACAACTTTAAATAATGTAAAAATGAAAATACAATATCATGAGTGTCTTACGTGGAATGGTCCATCCTGTGTAATTAACCAACTATCTTTTGGTTGCACTTATACTTAATATTGTACAAACGATAAATAATTATTTCGCTGTACGCCTGTACTTTAAAATCAATGACTTGAAATGTTTAGGTCCAATATAATTATTATTAACTATTATCTAGGTAGATCTTTCAAAATTAAAAGTAACGAATTATACTTATATTTTATTCCAACTCAACGTTAAAATATTAAAGTTTTATGAATGTACGTCTTGAACCGTATGTAGGAAATGTTTGGATGGAAAAACGTTGTGGTATTCAGTCAGCAGACCCACCCCAAATCATGTAATAGGATTATAATATTATACTCGTGTATACAAACAAATAATAAAAGATTTCTCGAGATAGGAGAGAGAGAGAGAGAGAGAGAGAGAGAGAGAGAGAGAGAGAGAGCGAGTGAGAGAGTATGAAAAGGGGGTGGGAGGATAGAACATTTTTGAAATATTTTAAATTCTGAACGGTGCATGGAATGTGGACGTCACCCGCTGTTATGAAGATGTAGTTTTATGCTTTTTTTATTATATTTTTATTGAAACCAAGAATACTGGAAATATTTTGTGTAATATTTTCATATGAATTATACATTGAGCCTAAACGACGGTACTACAGTGTTAGATCAGGTCAATTTTGAGTTTTTCAATACGATTTCTCTGAGTATTGTAGTAAAAATTCCTTAAAATGTCCACTCGATGCACTACGAATGTTTTGTAAAAAAAATAGTTGATATTGAAAACAAGCCGGTGAGTATAAACTAATTTGCAAAATATTAGATAAATATTGAAATATGTCTACTATATAGTATAACTTATTTTCAATCGCATACTATATAGTGATAATATTAAACTGATACTTATTATTATAAAAATTATATAACATAACTTGTATGCATAAATACTGAAAATTTATAATCCCTCTAATTCTACATACAATTACATAACTTAAATTAAATCTGAAATGTATTTATAATATATTGTTTATAAGTCATAACGATATAAATAATAAATACCTACCATGGAATATACAGCGTTTGAATATGTTTACTTAATAATTCGTTGAATTTTATGGTTAATTTATTATTGGTTTTATAACAATTCGCAGAAAGTCATTTAAAAAACCTTCAATATTTTAGTTAACCAGGTCATTTAAATAAAGTTACATCAAACTAGTGGGCAGAAGAAATTGCCTGAAATAATGTTTAAAAAAATGAGTAGGAATGATTATTAAGCAATTACTAAAATATAATAAGACTACTTTATCATAATTTTCACTTAACTACATAATTCGTGTAACAAAATTGACAAAATACGATTTTTAACGGTATTACAGATTACTTTAGTAAATATATGATGATTATAGTTTTAGCATAAGACATAAGCCAGGTGATTATAAACATTTTTAAGGGGTGTAACACTGGCATTTGTTGTGTCTGCTTTACAAGTGCGTAACATAGCAAATTTTCTTTCAGCAGATCACGTACAACATCTTGAGTTCAAAAATTGGAGTGAGACGAACTCTTAAGAAACTTGATGGTAAGGACATTATCTGTGATTGTATCTGGGTTTTTACGATAATTCAGTTTTCAAGTGAGTTATGAGCATTTTTAATTTTCGCTATATTCCATACATAAGACTTGCTAAAAAATTGAAGTATCGTAAAAACCCCACATACAAACACAGATAATGTTCTTACCATCAATCGACATCAAATGACATATTTTGGAGAGGGAAATCTAATAATATTATATTATGAGATAAAAAATGTTCTTGATAGGTACTAACTTTGTTAATTGTTTTAACTACCTATGTATAGTGTTAATATTTGAATGTACCTAAAAATTTATAAGTTGTACCCATTTTATCGAAACGATTAATGCTAATCAAATACCCATATAAAATGTATAGAAGATTCTGAGTGCGGTAAAAGAAATATATTGACTTTTCTGTCAACACTTTTTGGGTTAAATATAGTTATTTTCAAAAAGCTTTTCATAATATTAACCTATGCAAATATCGTGTATCATATAATATACGTAGTTTATATGTTTAGACTATAGAGTCTATGAACAGGGTAATTCACCAAGCATGATCATCAGTTCATCCCAATTGTTCATTTAATAATAAATTTATTCAATTAATGAATTTTTGAATTTTTAAATGGACCACATTTTAAAATTCTTTTTTTTTTTTTACTACTAAGAGTTTCTACTATGGCGTTTCAAAGTTCTATTTTTCAAATAAAACACCCTTTTAAATAATTATTTTTGAATAAATAACTGTGACTAGAGCTTAAATGTTGAAAATTATTATGTAAACGAAACACCTCTTACAAGTGAGAATACTGCTTTGCAAATGTTGATATGCTAATGTGCGATGATTCATTACATTACAAAGCATTTTACACTCGCCCCAGTGGCCCACCAGAATCAGTGCATTTGTTGTGTCGTAAAAGTTATTCAAATATTATTCAATTATTCTTTGAATAATTTATTCATACGACTTTATTATAATATTATAATTTTTATACATGCAATACCCCAGAAAAATCACACTTTACGAACATACCGATTGCCAAGTCTTGCTTTATAATATATAAAATATAATAAATATATATACCTATATAATATATAGGTGTGTGTGTTATTTATGAATTTCAAAATTAAAATAAATGCTGTACTTATTACCTATTGATTTTGACTAATTTAGTACAGAACGTTGAGTTTATACTAGATTGGGAAACACATCGAAACACCTCTTATTAAATATTTTAATATGAAATATACATTATTTAAAACAAAGTAGTTTCCTGAAATAATTACCTAATATTGATTTAGTTTATCAGATGCCGATTAAACAATGCATAATATATTAATATACAGACAATCTTAACATCTCAACTCTCACGATATATAATAATATTACACACATAATAGGCTAAAGGTAGGCCAAAAAACATAGAGAAATAATGATTTTATCGGATGGACGCATTGGGGGAATAAAATATAGGTAGGTACAAGGTACCTATTATATCAAATTTATATTTGTCTAGGTGACCTTCACAACTGATTAGGTATTTAATTTTCGTTTAAACATTTTTCAAACTCTTTTATTGCTCAGATTTAAATAATTGAGTACCTATTGAATGATTCAATGATTGATCAAAATGTTAGTATTACAAGCAGTTATACATGGATATACTGTTGTACAACAGCATACTGTTGGTATAATTAACTTGTAAAGCTATTTTCCACGATTATAGTGTATTCATAAATTGCGCTTCTCTTCAATGCTTAAACATTTTTAAAGCAATTTTAAATACCTACTTATTAAAAAAGTTGGTACGTGAACAAAAAATTTTCAAGGTCTAACGATTCAATTTGATTTCAATAATTTCAATAAAACTATGCTACTTATTAACGGTATAATAAATCAGATCAGGTCATCAGGACGTTTTTAGTTTTTAATCGCTAGAAATTACATTTGAAGAACAAATATATGGTTTTAAACGCATCTGAGATCTTAATAAAATACTAGTGTTCGTGTACATGAATTCGCTAAAAATTACAATGGTTGTGAGAATAGTAATTATAGTTATGTTATTTTATAGTAATCGTCACAATATATATATTTGTTCCATGGTTTTGATATTTTATCCTTGTTTGACTATAAAAGTAAGCATCACCTAAATGGTAGAAATACTTAATGGTCGAAATAATTAAATTATTATGGAACTACTATTTCTGTATACTAATAGAAGGTGTACCGTGGTGGGTATTTAATTTAATATATTTAAAAAAATACTTTTTGCCTACTATTTAATAAACAGTGTTGTAATTTGTATGTGACCTTGTATATCGCTTTATTGGTCAGAGCAGTAACGTGATTCATGTCAAAAAATGAAAATATATCGTCAGAAAATGTGCTTACTATGCATATTATTATGTTGCAGATATTCTAATACAAACGATATTTTTCAAAAAAACATTCCAAAAAATATAAAAATGAATCTTCATTAATTGTTTCTAAGACCGTATAAAAAATAAAAAGATTCAAGATACACCAAAGAAACAAGCATCTAGGTGCACTTATTATTAAATGTCGAAAGATACGAGATATCTATCGAAGTCTCAAATACGGTTCAGTGCTCACCCCTGCAATAGCCTACCAGTTACCAGAAGGTAGAATCAATAACCAGGAGACAAGCAAAATGTATAGTATAGTATAGTGTATACCATATTATTACCAATTTATTTATTTTCAGTTGTGCGAATGATGCATTCCTATAATAGTTATTATTTATTAGACACTATTATTACAAATTAAAAATTAAATACTTATGTATTTCAGACTTCAACACTAAAGTTTAGCAGAATTGTTTTACAGCTTGAAAAATATAAACGAATTTTTAAATAACTGACTCGCATGTTATACGGCTGCATTTATAAAAAAGTAAAACTTTAATCCTAATTAAAAAAAAAAATAATAAATAAATATTATGATTGACTACGACAGCTCTTTTTTGAGAATTTCATATTTATTTATTTTTTCAGCCAATAAAACGTATATATCCCATAAAATAATGATAATATTATACCTGTACGACTGCGGGCAAATCTGACGGATACGTTCCCGGCGGAATAGAACCGTTGACGGACATATTTTGTTTGTTGTCCTTATCGACGGCACCGTCCTTTTGCACATCTGGCGTCGGAATTCTAGGCCTTCCTCTGGCATTCATTTGTCCATTAATCTTGTTCGAACCTAAAAGTAAAACATACAATATTTATTGGCCTTATGATAACGTGTGCACTGTACAGTATAGGTAGGTACCTACTTATATTATGTATACATACGACTAACTGATTTAAAATGTGGAACGGCAGACACATAACGGGAATGACAGCGGTGTTATAACCATTGCGATTCCTCAGAGTCCTTCGCACATAGCTGGTAATCAAAATACTCCTATTTTTATTTTTTTTATTCTAGACCATAACAAATAAGTGCTTCGTGTCAAACTATCATCTGCACATTATGCAGGTACAATATGATTACGAAATCGCCGTACGTATAGGAGATAATACGAAATAAAATCTTTATAAAAAATTATAAGCTGCACGTCATTATAGACTTTAAAATATCGTATACGACAGTTGTTATATTAAATAGATCGAGTGCCGATCAAGAACTATGTAGGTACTTGTTTAAGACTTGCTTTTGATTTTCCTTAATCGCTGTGTGATATAATATATCAATGATAAGTACAAGTAATAACTGTCAAACTAATTTTAATACTTTTTATACTATTTTATTACAAAATGCTATTACAATATTTTTAAATAGACATTATTCAATGTTGCTTTCATTCAAATCACTGTAAACGACTTGTCATAAACGAGACTCGAGTAGGAACTCGACAAATCATAATATTATATAATCGAAAGTTTGACGGCAATGTTGCCTTGTTGCATGGACGTATCTAATATCTATTATGCATGCGAATATGGGGCGAGACTACAAACTGTAGTCTATTATCAACACAGCATAATTGATCTAAAAGGTATTTAAAATTTGTTACGACCTAATCTTTACTTAATATATTAATGTAGCTCATTTATATATGTATATCTATCCGCTTCCTTTGTACTACTATATTCTATTATGGGTACTGATTACACAGTGTTTTATAAGTTAATACAAATTAGTCTAGTCGAATTGATCATTTTGTTGTATTTAAATATAATTATTATTGCATCAGTGATGAGCCATTATATCCTATACACATGACTTTTGAACACTTGTAACTTTTAAGCTCACGGTTTTTAAAGTATTGAATATCAACGTCAAAACGTGCAGCACTATAGTCTAGAACACGCCTACAAAAAAGACAGCTCCACATTTCGTGATTAGCTATTATATACTAAATTGATTTTGTTCGGTCTCTTCAGTACCTATACTCGAGTATTCGCGTGCCCGGTTGACGTATTACCTACACATCGTACGAAAATAATTGCAGTTTCGATTAAATTGTCATAAATTTGACTTTGCTCGAAATTAAATCGGAAATTAGTAATTATACACATCACGCGAATCACGAATACAATGTAGTAGGTAGCGGTACTCCGTATAATTTGCACAGAGCCCTACTAACCGGAAAAATTGTTAATAATATTATTCGTGTTCGAAAAAAATTGGTACTCTGCAGCGTTAAGCCATTATAAAACGAATTTATTATATCAAGAATTTCAGGTATCCGATCCCGATGCGACTTCATCAATGGAACGCCGAAGGTAAAGGTACCTAATATAAAAGTTATATAAATGCCCATCGTCCTACACTTATAGTACACTCTCTAGTACTACACTCATAGTGTCATCCCGAATTAATATTTTTTTCATTTAACATTAGGTTATGACTTATGAGCATCGTATAATAAATCGTTAACGTAAAAAACACCGAAATGCGTCTGACTTGGAATTCGTAACAAAATATTACCAATATTATTAATTTCTTCGAAAAAAATTTCAATTCTATATACACGTGATTCGAAACTATTCAAAATTAATATTATTATACATCATTGTGCATTATGATTGTAGATACATCATTGTCTGTAAGTAGCCTACTTGTACATTACTGTGTATACATACATAAATTTATAAAGTGGATATTCGTAAAAAAAAATATAATTTTTAAGAACGAAAACTAAAACCATGACATTATATACCTGTATAATATAATTACGAACGTTTGTGTAGAAAACTAATTTCTTTTTTGTGTTACAATATCCTACACGAATCACTTGGAATATATTATTTGATTATTCGCCATGTAAATGAATGATCAGGCTAAAAAGTTGAAAAAAAAAGGTTTTTTAATGTGCATTTTTACTAAATTTTAATAAATCACGTCGAGTAAATATATAATATACAGGTATATAGATGAGTGGGTTGCAATTAGAAACCAAAGTAAACGTATGGATACCAATACAAAGTGGAATCACTGATCACGACTTCGGATTGGTATTTAAATTTAAAAAAATTCCTGTTCTGCAGTTTACGTGTCTAATAATAATATGATATATATATCATTATACGCCTAAACATTATGACGTAGACACCTATCTAATATAATAATATCTGACACGATATTATTTTATTCGCGTGTGGTGCAAAAAAAGTGAAAACCCGTAGTTCTACAGATTTGTAGTAGGTACTAAGCGATTACGACAATGATTCCGCGTAATTTTTGTTCGAAAACTCGCGGTAACATATTAAGATTTGGCGATTGGCAAACTCGGCAAGAAAGTTTTTGTTCCTAGGTAGCTAATATTTCTACACGAGTGAACGATGATATGGTTTCCTTGGCTAATGAGAAACGATGATGACGCACTTGGGTAATAACTACCGATTTAAATCTTAAAATCCGTACGCGTTTTGTCGATTTCTGTTCAATAAAAACAAATACAAGCAAACGAGTTATTAACGTGACGACCTTCAGAACGAATAATGACGTTTAAAAAACCACGTGAAGTATCAAAATATCTAATTAGCGTTTTCCGATTTTTTTAAGTTGACGTCGTATTATACGAGTCGTATACTAGAGACACATCATAATATTATGTATATTAAATATATAGATACCTAAATAATAGCACTTTATTTGTATGATCAACACGTAGTTATAAATAAATACCGTCGTAATAATATATAGGGTGATAAAAAAAAAAATTGAGTTTTAATTTGAGGACCGATTACACTAGTCTTATGAACTTGTAAACATGTGTAGGTATCTAACCGTTTTTTTCCAAAATTATTATAGGTTTGAATTCCTATTTTCTCGGTTAATGTGTCTACTGCGTGTCCACAACTACGATCGAAACGTTATTTATAGGTACCTATATAAAATAAATTGCCAAATCGAATGTTGTTGAGCTCTATAATATATATCTATATTGAGATATGTTTTAACAATTAAAAATAAATCGTGTTCATCGGGGTTAACCCGTTGAAAAATATTATTTTTTAAAGTTCAAGCAACCTGCAGAAATATTACCTTGAGTACTGCCCCGCCGACTTTTCATAGATTTCCTACCCCACAGTCGGTCGTACAGCGTGATCTTTTGCAAATGTGGTGTACTGCCGTTAATGCCGTTTAAGTGACCGTGACCGTTAATTCCAGCAGACACAGGTAACCCATTTTCTGGGCTCGAGTAAACCGAATTGTGTCTGGTTCGATTGAACAGACCGCCAGACGAATAAGTGGTCGATGACGATCTAATTGATCCCACCCGGTGTATTTGCCTCTGGAACCAATTTTTGCGGCGTTCAGCCATTGGTGTGTCAACACTTTCCTGTAAAAACAAAAAAATCGAGTTTATATTTAATTAGGAATTATATGCTGCAAGTACAAAATGAAAAACCATCTTTCTATATTATGTGGCAAAAATATTATCTGTAGTAGTCAGATAGGTATAGGATTACACTGGAGTAGTTTAGATACAAAGAGACTTACAACGACGGCCGACGAATATAATATATAAACACTGCTGACAAATAATTTGATTTTAAATCAGAAAGCAAATTATTTAACCATAGGTATATCGTTGTATTTTTTTGGCCAATATCAAGCGATTCGTCGATTTTCGATTACCTATGTTTGATATCGAGTGTAGGTATTGAATTTTTTACGAACAATTCTAATATTCTATACCTGTAGCTCCAGCCGACATTTAGTAGTGAACCTGTGAACTCCATTCACGACAAGTGGCGCCAAAATAATATTCTAGTCGCATTGCAAACATAATAATATAGCATACACTATACAGGTACAACCCACACACAAATATACACAATGAGAGTCACACTGTCACACTGATATGCGAAAAAGACTAAAAAGTAACAATCTTCCGAGGGATTTCATCAGGGTTGATTTTTTTGTCGCAGAACAATCGCCTTGCATTATTCCTATAATCCGAACCTAATACCAGTTAATATAGCAGGGAAAAGGCTGTTTGCTCTTACAATCTTTATTGTTTAGGTCAGATCATGGTGGTCTACACAGGTCGGCGTACGACGATATGTATTCTATGCACTGGATTGCCGAAGTGGCGTTTATAGTGAACTATTAGCGCTAGTATAGTCATCGACCCGACTTGTATTTTATTAAAATATTAATTTTTATGATTTAAAGTTTTTAAAAATCAAATTATTAAAATATTCACACATATTTTTTAAAATAATTTATTAAATTTTATTTCCTTTTTTTCCGTGGCTTATTTTTCCCGTGGATTTTTTTCCCAGGATTTTCTTTTACGAGGCTTCTTTCCCTACATTTATTTTAAAGATAGTAACACTAAAATAATTATGTATGATTCAAAAATATTCAATCTATAATTTAAGTGCTTAGGAATTTGTATGTTATTGTAGGTTTATGAGACATGAATTAAAAATAGGACAACAATATTGTTTTGATAAAATATCAAATATTCAAGTCGATTACTTGATATACTTTTATTGCTTTTCCATTCTCTTGCGGGAAATTTTTCTCGCTATTTGGAGGAGTCCGTTAAGGAACGTTTCACTGTATGTATATAAATCAACGAATACATAATATTATATACATACGTTACGTGGCTATCGGTGTCACAGCGAGCCTCCTTCTATCTACCAATATATTATTAAAGGTATCTTAAATAAGTGTAATGGTTTGGTAAATATATAAAATCTTATAATATACAACCTATAACTTACGATGAATGACGATAAAAGTATATATTTTTATTGTACAATATAATTCAAATGAATTGTTTTCCATTAGAAATTAATCACGTTAAATGAGATAAGCGTCTCAAACTATCGCAACATTATAATAATATATATTGTAATGTGTCATACACTCGATGATTACATTCATATTATAAACATTTTAAAACATAAACGAAAGTATACATAGAAGAGCGCATGTTCTGCTTTCTCAAAAGACACCCATGTATTTTATATCTGGGTAAGCATGTTGCATGTACACATTGTACTTAAATTATTATAATTATAACTATCGGTTATTATACTAGGTATTTCATTAGAGGAGTCGAGGATTTAAAAACGATTTGACTGCGATTACGCGTACGCAATAGGTGCAATCATAATTAGAAAACGCGTCGATTTGTGAATTGAATTCGCATCGACGTCCAAACAATGATGAAAAAAAAGCCCACGAAAAAGTCTCGTGTTCTATACTTCTATGTGTTCAGTGTTAATAATATAATCAACTATAAACTATTTCATATCTGAGACATACTATTTTATTTTTGAAGATGTATAATGGTATGGAATAGAGAACAAATAATTAGATTTTCGTCAATGTTGTACGAATTTTTAAATTATTGCAGACATGGTCGGCGAGTTAGAGCTAGACGGTAATATGAAGGGTACCTATATTTATCATCACAGAACATACGAGTACCTTACCTACAGCAATCACAAATTATTATAATAATAATCGGACCGACCTAGTCGAGATCAGTGCCACGATAATACGTACCTAATATTATTATTATTATTATTATTAGTATTATTATTATTATAACTACTATACTTAGTACGTATATGAACTACGCATGGACTACTATTATATACTGCAGCCACCTGTGGCCTGCAGTGCGCATGGGACTCCTCGATATGCATTCCTACACGATTGCTTGACCTTCGATCGAATATAGGTACGTACTTACACATGTTATGTACCTACGTACATGTGCGCACGGAACAAAAATATCAAAACCAAAATGTAAACACGGCGGACACAATAAATTATAATTTATAAATTTATAATACAGTATAAGTAGTATACTTACTACCCGTCCGAGTTCATTAATCTCAACACGGCGAGCCCGTGGAGCGGTCGACTTATCCAGCATTAGTGCGGGACGTACACAATTATTACAACACGCGCAGGGACTGTTATTATTCGAAATACGAACCGGTTTGAAAATATGTTTTGGTTTTTTCAAAAACAAATATATAGGTACAATAGTGCCTATCTCTCTCACAAAATAAACAGAGCACTTGATTGACTGCTTTGGTTTACTCGATGCGCTTCGGTTTTATATTGAGAGTTTCCAACCTTGTTTGTAACAATTCAATGATGTAAAGAATGTTTTTAAAATATATTTTTAATACTATTCGCTGATAAATTTATTTTCAAGTATTTTAAATATTTTTCGCAGATCCATACTATTTTTAAAAAGTGTTTGAAATACTTGTCGAATGTCTGATTAATCTCCGGATGTCTACGGATTCCGGAACTTATAACTCAATAATCGATGCAAAAGTAACTATGTATGAATTAACTCAGCAAATTATTATTTCGATATAGTTACTCGCAGTTGCCTACACGTAGTCCCTATCATTTATCACATCGGTTGAAACTGAAATACGTTCATTCCCAATTATTCGCAGAAAATTTTTATGGAATGGTAACCAACTGAATTTTGAAGATCATTCAAAACTTAGTAAATCGTATTTTTTTTGGTTGTATTACATTTATACGCTCAAGTGTTTATGACTACACGTTTTTAGTAGGTACGCTCGCTTATTATGGAGCATATTTTAATGTTTTTTTTCTTTACAAACATATTAAATAGTACCCACCTAGATATTTGATTAGTTGTTAGTACTTTAAGTCTTGAATGTGGACCATAATTTTATAAACGGTCGAGTGATGATATTGAAATACAAGTCGATTTAAAGAGCGCACCTATTTCTGACATGTTTTCGATTTTCGTGTGTGCGGTGTGTGCGCTAGTAGGAAGTTTTACTGTTACCCACGTTGAAAATATAAAACTATCCGTTGTACAGGAATGAGGAAGCGCTGATGTGCATCGTTTCGAATACTTTTGCAAAATAATAATGAAAATAACACTCGACGATTCGGTGTGGCACGTGATTCGCATGTAGGTACAATTAATGCGATCACGCGGAACATCGGCCGATTCATCTGCGGCATGAGCAGCAGCAATAAGATCGATAACCGCTGCTATAAATATGGCCAATAAAGCGGTTAAACTACCAGAGGTTTGCAAAAAAAGTATATTTATACATCGGCTCGTCGGTGGGGAAATCGATTAGACTTAAGGTGATTGATTGGTGGAGGGGGAGGGATTAACCCTGGTTATAAGTCCGCGGACTTGTCCAATGTTTATACAAGCGACAATAATAATAACAACAATTATTATTACAAATTACAAAATATAAACAATAATATATTATAATATTATTATAGGTATGTGTACATATATTGTTATTATTATGATATATTGTACTCACGTAGTCTGCGTACACGTCCTCGGGCACCGCGGTCTTCCTATGCATGTGATGCATCGGTGCCATGTTCGCATACAACGAATCCGATTCCTTGACCTTATAGCACTCAGCCGACCCCTTGGGCTCCTCGCGCCTGTAGTGTTCCGACGCCACTGTGTACGGCAGGTCTTTGGGCACCACCTCGTCCCAGTACTGGTCTTTCAGTAGTTCCGGGTGCTCTTCGTGCATTTCGTCTACGATCATGTACGCCGCCTGTACAGATAATAATATAATATATTATTACCACTATACTATATACGTATATATTATGCTATCCAACCCCCGGGGACATTTTCAATGATCGTATTATATAATTTTTGGCACCCTGCTAAGTGGGACCGTGATTGAGTCAGACAGTCCTTATATTATTGTGCCTTGACCATAAATTTACACATACTATTGTTATATCAATATTATCGGACCAAATCTATTCCGGAACCACAGCATTATAATGTATAAGGTACAAGAAAATAAAATAAATACTAAAAATCGTAGGTCAATCAGAGGACTCTTCCGACACATTGTATATATACCGAACAGAAAACACGAGCTCTTTCCAGACGCATCCTATGTGAACTAAGAGTTAAGACTTACGTTGTAATAATACGTTATTGCGGTATATTCACTAATAGTATATTTACCTTCAATCGATTCGATCATATTTTTAGCCCCCCACCCCTCAACCCTAACTCTGACTTTATCCTCTCAATCCAATACTTTCCTGGAGTGGTCACCTAAACGCTAAACATGCTACTGACTCTATCTTCTTCAATCGCACTTCTATACTTGAACATAGCACATGTCTTTTTGTACACACCCGATGACCCTCAATCCTTAAATTTATTTACCTATTCGTATACCCTATGCGCAAAATCACCAATATGCATTCCTTACTTCCTCACTTTCTACTTCATATTTGAACACATCTATCCCAAGGGCGTATTTGACCTGTGTCCATGTGTGGAAGAGAAACTATTTTATTTTTTAATGTGAATACACATATTGAATACAAATTAACAATATTTTTATTCTTTGCAGAGTTAAAAATGTTTTACAGCTAATATCCTAAACCTTATCTCACATACAATGAATAAATTAAAAAAGTATGAATACAAATATAACTGAGTAATGTAAGTTATTAAATATATGTATATAAGAATAATAAAAATACGAGTAATAGGTACATACCAAACACATTAATTAAATTGTTTTTATATTAGTTTTAATGTACCATTTGATAAAAAAATTGAGTGAGAGAAGAGGAAAACGTGGAAGGGATGATTTTTGATTTACACGATTTACACGGTTTTATAATATTAGGTACTAAATACTGTTCATTGTTAGTCTAATTATATGGTTTCCGCACGAGTTTCACTATAATCATAATCATATCGCACTATTATCTTTAATGTATACATAATACAAGACAGTTATTTTATTATATCAACCGCATAGATATTATTATTACAAATACTTAAAAAATGTACGATTATATAATATCGAAATTTGTCTGCTTAGACGCAAGTAAATAAACAACCATGTAGTATAATATACCTAATAGCGTCGTGTATACAAGTATATTGATCGTTGCCGCTAGCTGGTTAGTCATTAACTATAATATTGTCGTCAATCATTGTTATTGTATGTTATCTATTGCAATATTATAGTTAAATAATATCGCGCCTACATACTGTACGAGCGGTAGTTCCGACTTAAACCCACGTACATTAGGATAAGGTATCCCTAGGACGATAAGACGTGTCGATAACGAGCGACACCGAATACGTCACATTTCTCGCGTATGTACAACGTACAAACGCATACACCTATACCACATACATTGCGAATAATACACGTCTGTGGCTCAGTCGTACGTGCGATAACTACACATTATTAGTCATGTTGTACTATTGTTAAGCAGATACTGCGCCGTATTATAATTATAATAATATGTATTATTATGTTTATCGTGTCGATAAAATAACCATTGCGGCAAATATATACAGGGTGATGCGCGCGGGTTTGACACTTGTTGCCCACCATTTGCACAGCCAATCCCTGCGAATATTTATCGGGATTTGAAAAAAACAATCGTTTTATGTGTTGGTTAAGTACCTATTATAGATTTTTTACTGTTTTTCTTCATACAAGTCATTTCATAAGTGTATATTAGATAGGTATAGTTTATTTTAGATTATGAGCTGACCAAAGAATGTATATTGGTATTAAAATTCAAGGTTTTTTTTAAAGAAACACCATTATTTGTCAAAATCAGTTTGGTTCTTTTTATTTTCATTGAGAAATTAATAATCGCAGAGACATTACATTTTTATGAAATATTGAATGTACAGTGAAACTTTCGTACCACGAAGGCTCGACGGGCACCAAGAGAAATTCAAAAAAATGATAACCGTAGACTTGAAACCTTAGGCAGGTAAGTATACTGTTATTGTTAATACCGGTACAACTTTTAAAATATCTATGATATTATTACCTATAACACGAACCCATTCACACCATTCAAATCTACAGTAAGCGCAGATATTGACTTTTATATTATACACGATGTTTTTGGCAACAATTTTTATCTTAAAGTTAAGAAAATACAAATAATATTGTGACATGAATTATGCTTAGAAAAATAATGTGCTGTTCCGTCCGTTTCATTAGCTTAGAATCATTTTTTTGTATACGACTGTTTTTTACATCATCTATTACAATAACCCAGTCTAAGACGACATTCACTCAAACTTTTAAGTCTCGAAACCTACCTATAGTATATACAGTTGAGTGGTTTTTTAAAGCTTCATACCAATTGTCATTGTGCTCACAGATCCTAACTAAGTAACTAGTTCGCTAAATTTCTTGAAGCCTGTATTTCATACGTAAGTACATAAACAATTCTGATTATCTTGAGATTCTTAGTATATTTCACTATTCCAGTACAGTAAAACTAGCTTAAGACGCTCCCGCTTCAGACGCTGTTCCCTCCGGTTCCTTTTCTAATAATATTCCCGCATAAGACGCTCGTGTGAGCTGGTTGCTTGAAAAACGTTTTAAGCAAGTTTTATTGTGTTAAATTTAGATTTGTAATAAACTTAATTAAGCGAAAGGAGTGTATCCAGCAAAGTTGTACTGCAGATTTGAAATTATAATATTACTTTGAAAACTTGTCACCTTAAGTGGTTATAAAATATATTCAGCTATATTTTATACACCAAGGCTTAACAGATAAATAATAAAATATCACTAATTGTTTACAAGCTGTACTATATACTAATATATGATAGGCATATTATATATACTGTATAGGCACCTACTTTAAACTGTATCAATACATTTTATTTAAAAATCCCAAACAAATGTATTGAATGAAACACTCTGTATATAGGTCGAGTACAATGAAATAACGAAACTATGTGCGCCCACAGAAATAATTAATAATATATTAAACTCATGACTGATAATAATGTACCTAAATATTTTTTAATCATAAACTCTCATACATCTCATACTTGACGTTTTTTTTGAAAAAAAAATTAATAGTTAAATCACCCGTGGTCTATTGAAAACATTAAGCATTTTACACATTAAAATATTTTACATATTTACATAATGTTAATAATGGTAACTGTTAATTGTTATAAGAGTTAACAAATAATAATTGACATAAAATAATATTATATTCGCCGAAACTACTGTTCAAAAATTTAAAACTTAACTGAAAACTTAACTCCACGACTTCAGTTTCAGAAATAACTACAGTCAACAATTGCAATGATGTGTGAGTACCTGTATAACAATGGTATACTTCGAACCACAGTTTCTAATAGTCAATAACGATTAACGAGGTATTTTTGTCAATGAATTATTTTCCAAAAACAACCAGAAAATTTAATTTGCTGTATAGAAGATTTCGAGTCACTGGATAGATCACTGTAATGGATGTGTTAAATTTTAATTCAATAATAAATCATTGTATATGATACTAAATATGATGGTAAGCCAGGGATATGGATGAATCTTATATATTAGAATGAGATATGATCTCTGACTCTCTGAGATTAGTTTATCTTATCTAATATCTATCTTATAAGTACACACTATGTAAGACCTCTGTATAGTAAGCCGCCATAATGCCATATAGTGGATCACTCGTGAGACATTCGTTTTGACTTAAGAAAATTGAATATTTTTTTTTGTTTATATTATAATATAGGGTTGCCACTGGCTATACAAATAAAAGAGACTTTAACATAATCTATAGGTAGGTAATACAATATACATATAAAGATTAAACATGAATGTTAACTACTCAAAAAACTGATCCATCAATTTTGACAAAAAATTTATATTTTATTTATAAAAGGTTCGTTTAGAGTACAACTTGACCACGTTTAAAAATATACCAAATGCAATGGTTTATCTAATCCAACACGGGTCGAGGTTAGTTCGCAAAGCTGAAGTTACATCGACGCCGTTTTTCCGGTAAACTCAAGAACACTAAAATCGAGATACATCGCTATAGAGGCTTAAAATAAATGTATCACTAAATAATTTGTTCGTACCAACCTATGAATTGATGAATTTTGATCTTAAAATTAACTAGAACGATAATTTACGTAATGCACAACAAAGTAGTTGTTGTTTATTTATAACTATTTAATATGTGGTTTAGAAATTATAATGAAAATATTGGTATTGGAATTTGCAACAATTATTTTTGTTTTTAATTAAATGTAATGTGTGCACAACAGGATCATGTCGAGCAGTAACAAAATATAGAAATATAACGCTTGAAACACGCCTGCTTGTATACAACTTTCGATTATTCAAAATACATTTCAAAGACAGATGAAGGTATATTATGTAAAACAGTGCTTTATAAATAGCGTTAATAATAAAATAAGTTATTTCAGGCTCTGAGTCATACGAAGAATGTGTTATTATTATGATATGTATAGAAGATGAAAAAAAAACAATGTTTACCTATCAAAGAATTGGTTAATTAATAGTACTTATACGCTTGTATCTAAAATGAATTAAAAGTTTATAGATGTACAAGTATTGTGTTAATCGGCTAATAGAAATAATATTATAATTTAATCAAACTTAACTCTTTATAAAAAACAAAAAAAATTACGCAATAACCCAGTAACAGTATTGATTACCTAGGTATCTATAACTATGTTTGATCATGTGTCTATATTATATTGGATTGCATAAAGTCAATACCATATTTAGGAATATTAGGCATTTTGAAACATCTTTAAATTGTGTGATCGGAGTATCAAAGGGTTACGATTGTTATTAAAGTCCTTGACCTTAATTATAACTTTATTAATTTTGGCATTACGACAATACCATCAGTCGAACGATTAAAACGAAAAAGAACATTATAATAATATTATAGTGCGGCCTCTTGTCCTGTCACGCTTATGTGCTTACCTCAAAAAAAGAAACCAAAACCGCGGATATTGTTCATTGTACGAACGGCGATGTTTTGTAATTAATGTTTTAAATAAATTTACTAACGAGAATAAAAAAAAACAAATAACATTCATTCGTCAGTTTCAGAAAACATTTGTCAACTGTTTGTGTGTAGGTACGCGTACCTATCTTATTAATATATTATCTGATTTTGGTCTCAATGGACTGTAAACTGTAAAGTCGAAATGTGAAAGTCGTCCAACTATTGTTGTGCTTTAAAATGATAGAAAACAAATGTATAATATAAAAAAATTTGCATTTGAAGGTACACGTATTTTGTTTTAAACGAAAACTGGAATAACTCGTTTGATTTGAAAAAAAAAGTATACAAAATAATGTATATGCAAGACGCTGTAAGACGATATGATTCAATTGTTTCTGCTGCCATTGTCGCAGTTTTTGTTGGCAACGTATATTATACCAATATTAGTTATGGTTTCTACAAATATATTATATTATGTCTTGTGGCGGAAGGCGCCCGCGTGTAAACGTTTTAAAATTCTATGAATATGCATTTTTATAATAGTATTAATTATAATGTTAATATTATCAAATCACTTATGATATATACAAATATAAGTAGCTAATATAGTTATAAATGCATAGATATCTATAGTGATTACCTAGTGAAAAACTGTTACGTATTTTTTTTTAAAACATGAAGGCACATAATCCGAAGACAACGATTTTTAAACTCAATTAATTATGATAATATAAAATATGATACAGTTAAATCGGGTAGATAATAATATTATGATACGTGTGAATTTATTTTGAGCTTATTTACTTCCGGTTACCCATTACAGCTTGTATAGTTTTGGTTTTGCAAATGATAATATTTTTACAATGATAATGGTATTATTTACCTTTATATGTCGGTCGATCAGCCAGTTGAGCTCGATGTCGTCGTCATCTTCGCCAAAAGGTCCAATGAGAACTTCCGCCACTTTCAGCCATCCGACGAAGAAACAAAACTGAAATAATAATAATAATATATACATTATTATATACGATAGTTGACTTCTTAACAATATTAACAATTAATAATAATATAATATGACGAAAGACTGCAAACCTCAATAATCGTCAGGATCGGTACGTACAGGTCGAACTCTTTAAAATCTTTAAAACCCCATTCTGGTGGAGGCTCCACCATCTGAGCACCGATGAGCTGGGCGCCGAAATAGGCGTACAACGACAACGTGACCACCTGTCGCACAAAATTGACCGTTTACAAAAATTCAAAAACACATGGGCACGTATACGCCGTATGCAATACGCAGGATGTTCCAAATTTTATGTAACAGCAAACTTTAGCATTACATAGTAATACTATTTCATAGTAAAATCTGCTGTCACTTAAAATTTGGAACACCTTGTATACATGGTATTATTATAGCAATTCGTGTGTGTTGTACTGTTGTTGCAGGCGACGAATTACGAAATAAATACCATACACACGAGCGTACCACGGGTAAGCACGCCAATGTATTGCTGTAGGTACCTTTACCTATAATACAATATATAATATAAAAGAGCGTATTATGAAACAGTATAACAAGTAGATATAAGTTTATTATGCATAATATTATCATGATCCAATGATGGTGTTAGTATTTATGTCGCATTAACCGTATACTCGTTTAATCTGGCACATTTTTTTATTAAAACATATTAATATGTATAGGTTTAAGTAGCTAATATTTATTACAGTCAAGCATCCCAAAAATATTGTTGAATGATGGAAACGCTACTGGTTTTTACGATAAATTCCTATGTAGTTTTCCGCGGTTGTAAAAAAATTAATTTAAATTCAACCGATGAGCACGACTGTGCAAAACACGTGCTAGAAATATTGTATTGGACAAAAAAATTGCATTACACGATACGGTCTGTTGAAACATGAATGCATATTGATGATGCAAGTACTTGTGGTTTACAAAAACTTATTTCAATATCAATCGTCAAGCCATCAAGGCCATTTTGACTTTTTGTAATTCGTATTTTCAATAATTTCACACGTTAGTCATGCATAATAATATAATATAAATAGATAGACACTGTAAAACAAATCAAAAATTTTAATTCCAACATTTTATCGAATATAGATTCGATTACTTAAATCAATTGTGTATTCTCAAAATAGTAATTATAACTATAGCAAATCGTGTGTAAGCTATTGTCTAGAAGAACCTGCAATGGCTCACCAGTCACCCCGGAATACCGCTTATTATAATACCGCGCGTGGTATGAAAACACCACAATAAGAACTAATAACATATAATTTATATGAGCCCCTACAAGGTCAGTGAATACAAATTAATGCTTATATAGATACGATAGTCAAATTATGCAAAGTAAGTTTTCTTTTTTAAATCAATATATTATTATTTTATAATTAACATGTTTTTAATCAATTTAAACAACATGGTTGATGTACATTTTTTTCATTTTGAATGAATTATTTGATGTTCTTTTAAATGTATTAATTTGATAACTATCAGTTTTTATTACTATTTGAATGTGTTACAAATTAAGACTATAGACATTGGAAAATAGAACACATAATATTATTATTATCATAATATTCTATAGTGTATGTATGAAACATATATAGTTGCCCATCCAAGCCGTTTAAATTAACTAGGTACTGAGAAATTCTCCTCAATCCACTGCATGTTTCAAACTAATACATAGTTTTGATATATAATTTAACGACTCTTATGTTAATATAAAAATAAATGCTAATGTAATAATCATAAATTAACGATTATTATCGAATGATTTCGTAATATTTTTTTCCTTAATAATTAATTTGAGTTTTATATAAATTATATATTTTTAAATCGTGGTTATTTCCTGCCGTAATATGTTATATTTTTAAGCCAATTTGTACCTGGTATTTCACTTACAACTTTATATAATGGAATTTTCGAATAACTTAAATATTACAATAAAATACATGATGTTCATCATAATATTCGCACACATAATTATATTTCTGCCGTATTTTATTATTATTATTACTGCACTTTTTGTTATTATTATTACTCAAGGAAATAAACAATGCAATTAGGTACTACTAACATTTACAATTTTAAGCTATGACTTACGAGTGGAATTAAAAATTTATTCGTTCAAAAAACTATTCAATGTTTTATTTTTACAACATTTTAACATGGTAAAAGTGTATATAATATATCACCTATAGTCTAAACTATACATAATATAAGCTCTACTATATTATAGATCATATTAATATATTATTATACTCCGTGGCTTACCCAGGGAAGGGGGGTTAGAGAGCTTCGGCCCCCTTCATTGACCATGTTATCGGATAAGTCGTATATAAATAAAGGCAAGGTACAAACCATAATATTTCTGAAAACGGTTTTGAAGAAACATTTTGAGTATTATCAATAATTTGTAGTGGTCATTATGGTTACTGCAGGATTTAGTAATTACGACCTAGTATAAGGTAACGGATATCAAATTCTGATTTACTTTGTGAAGACCTGCTCCCATTGAAAATTTCTGGGTTCACCCCTGATAATACTCATCAATTGAAAATATTAGATGAAAATAATTATTCCCATAATATAATAGTAGAATTCCCCATACCTAAACAATATCTCAAATTTCGAAAGAAATAACTATACAAAAATAAAAACGTACAAATGTACTAATATCAAGCAAATATTCGGACAAACTATTATTCACTCATCATGATAAGTTATTTGGATAACAGGAAACAAATTGTGCAAATTATGAACTCCGCAGGTGAAGAATTGAGTATTAAATGTGGAGTACCACAAAGTAGTGTCCTGGGCCCGTTATTGTTCATATTATATATTAATTCAATATTTTATATTTCAAAATGAAATAGTAATTTTTTAAATATATTTAATGATATTTTTAGGAAATACTTGATGGGATTTTTCCAAAATGTTTATACCACACATCACTGGCATTCGCATGTCGTTAAATTTAAAATAATTTAATTATTATCATAGCATTATAATATTTTGAAGTTGAGTCATTATAAACGTCTTGAACAAATCATATAAAAAAACAATGCAATTTATTGTAGTTTGTAAACATATCTTAAGAACCCATACGATATATGAATATTATTGGTTGATATAGGTTGATATAGAATACAATTTACTAACGCCGTTTTTCATGAATCTAAATTCAGATAATATTTCGATTGAAAAATTGTCTATTCGTAATCCTTTTTAAAAATTTTAAACTCATATATAAGTACTGACTATATCCAACTCCAATGATGATCTAAATTTCGAACATTATTAATATTCACAAGTATATATAATACCTAATCGTATTGTGAATTGTGATATCAAAAAATGAATGATAGGTCCAGTACAACTAAAGAATAATAATAACAATAATGCAGTGCTTTAAGTACCTTTATAATTATAATGAACATCGGCCGCCTGTAAAATTTTGTTCAGACTTCGATTGAATATTTCAACTAATGCGTATCCATTTGTTCGAAATGTGTACGTACATAATATATCCTTAATTTATAACTGGAGGCGTTGAAATTATACATAGGCACATATCTCATCGGATGTGAAACGACGGTGAGATTAGTGTGCGTTTGAAATATATTATTATTTTCATGAGATTTGATTATGTCGCTCACATTTCGTATAATTTAATCCGATTTTCGACTACGCGTAGAAGAGCCTGCAGAGTTCATTGGACGCGACAATACGCACGCCGCCGTCTCATCTAACAGCCGAACGCGTTTAATATGCGAACGGTTGCGGACTCTTTGAAAACTGGTTGCCTCGGGGTTTGCAGCAACCAGTAACCACGATCGGTATCGTTTGTCACGGGCAATCACGATCCGCGAGAAACGTAAAAAAAAACAATGTTTGTAAATTTAATATTGAAGATACTCCTAAGTACCTATGCCTGTATTATAGTTATTGTTTGCCAAATGTTCGTCTGTCACTTATTGTTGATCAATGATGATCACGAAGATCAAAGAGTAATATTTTCATTTTAAATGCTTGATGGTAGTCGGTAACTGGTTAAAAACTTATAGCACTGAATAGGTACGCGTATACAGGGGTTAAAGGGGGGGACGGCGGGACGCATGAGGACTCAGTCCCCCTTTCTCTGACGGCGATTAAAAAACGTCCCCTTTAACAAATTAGGATTTCATACATTAGACATTATACATAAAATTATAAATGGAACACTTAAAATTATATGGAGACTTGTAGAGGGTGCCCTCCAGAATTTTTTCTCACTTTAAACCCTGCGTGTATAGGTAAGTACTTGTCTTACTGTGTAGGGCTGAGACTTTGATGCATTTATTTTTTCCTAGTTTACTTCAAATTTGCTGGATATATGGACATTGCGTTTTAGCTAGGTGATAGTGTCGTGTTTATTTAAATATATATTTTTCATATTTAGGATTCTTAGCCAACTTTTTGATTTTTATCGTTTAACTTATCTTCATACATTTAAAAATACATAGGAAAATGATTCACTAATATTTAAAAAAATATTCATTATTATATATAGGTTGGTAATTATAAAAAAATTGATCTCAAAAAAATTTTAAAGAGACTATAAAAAAATATTGTATGAAAAATGATGAGTATACTTATTTATGGTTGTTTATTCTCAAATATTTTAAATTTTTACTGAGTTCACAACCGTTTCCTGTTGAATTCTTCAAGAAAAAAGCAGGTATTAGTTAATAAATAACAATGAAGTTTGTCATCAGTTATTAGGCCGGTAGCTATAAAATTAAGTCGTGTTAAGAAACACTAAAAATAAGGTGGTATTATTATAATGCCATTCAAACCGTAACAAATTCTCTAAAAACCAAAAATGTATTTCAAAGTATAGGTAGGTATGCGATAATAGTCACGAAAATAGAATACCGTGTTTTAGTTCACAATTCACAGCGCGTCACGAAATAAAATATACAACAAGCCGCTCGCTCTAATGTATACCAACATCGAACAAAATAATATGCAAATGCGTACAAATCCAGACACTATAATATAATTATCATCATCTGCCTAGGTACCCATTGTATCGCGTCCATCATCGAGATCGATTCGATCGGTTCCAGTCGATCCCCTGCACACTACTAGTACAAATAATAATACTACCTACCTATAGGTAATACTAATAACATAATCTCGTACCAAAGTCAAGGAATAAAATATGTTCAAACTATAATGCACCAAATCCGATTCGAATTTGACTTTAATATGTCTGCATACCTATATATTATAGTACCTACCTTTACCTGGGTACCTATGCGAATTTATTAGGTATGTATAAACCTCTAAACATACCTATAATATACGAATGTACCGACAAATTATACCGTCAAGGTGATTTTTACACCAGTGATACTGATATAATATAATCACTCGACCGAATATCTATATTATGAGCGTTACTATAATATATTATATTGTTGTAAAATACAATATTTACGATTTTTTGCAATTTTTTCCCCTCGGAAACATCGCATCATTGTTTCCGTAAACCATATTCAACAGCTCGAATTAATGTAGGTACCTACCTATACACGTCCTACACCTACCTAGGTATAGAGTTAGTAACTAGTTCGTTGTATTTTGTTTTTTTCGCACAGTGCATTCGGGCATCAAGCTGCAGCCTTGCATGGTCCGATGCTTTTAAATCAGCGAGACCGAAGATAATCGTAAACAACAATTAGAATAATAAAATAAAAAAAATTCTACATATAGGTACCAGAGGTACCTACATTAAAATATATATAATAAACAGGAACTTTACGGATGTAATTTACGATTACAACAACCCTTAACAATAATTGACATGTATCGTATATACTCGTATCTTTTATGCTTTTACCAAAACTCTAATAATCGTATACAAATAAATAAAAGAAAAATAATATTGTATTAAATTATTAAATTATTTAAATATATTTGGAATATGAGAGTATACTTTTATAATTTATAGGTTACATTGTAACAACTAACAAGGTAAAACACTGAATCTCTGCAAACTTATGTTTCGTTGTATGTTATTATATTCATATAATCATATCGATGATATGATTATACAAGATCATTTTATTAAATTATTTTTATGTATCTATACTGCACGTTTTATTGGTCTGAGAAAAAACTCGTCCTAAAATTATTACATTAATTACGTAAGAAATTTAATGCATTGCATATTGTTATTTTATTAAATTTTAACTTCAAGGGTCCACCTATAAAGCATGGTTTAATTTTTTTTTCGATTACCATAAATAATTATAGTATTATTATAGCGTATATCTAGATATCTAGTCATGACTAGAATACATCTTTGATTAAAACTGAACAGTATCATAAATTGCGTGTTATTGATTCTTTAATCTATAGGTTACTGTATATTATTTAATAAGTACATTGGTTATTCCAGAAACACCTACTCAAAATATAAAATATATGGGTATTATTATTAGTTTAAAGATATGTGTCAATGACAATATAATAAAATGCAAATTTTGAGGTCGGCAAATGATCAAAATTTATAATAAGTACCATTTGTATACTATGTTTTTATATTAACGACATTTTAAACACTTTTATATTAACTCAAGCCTGGCCAAATTAATGATAATTTTTAATCGAATTAAGTAAAGTTGCTTGAAAACGTTTTAAAAAGTTTAAAATTAATAGCTGTCCTAATTTTCTTTAACTCAGTTAAGTTTAAAGTTGCATGGAAGCTTACAATTAACTTATTAATTAAAATTAAGTTATTTTTAAATTTTTTTTAAATTTATTAATAGCCAGCAATATGGTTTGAAATAATAAAAAGTAAACTTTTAAGCGATATGCATCAATTTTATAATATGTTTTATTTAATTATTTATAAACTTACGCAACTTGGATTTGATTAAAGGTAACTTGTTATTTATTACATTTATAATGTTATATCAATAAAAAATAGCCAAGTTAAAAATTAAGTTCGAAAAAATTAAATTAAAGAAATGAAATTTACTTAACTTTTTTGAACTCGCTTATGCCCAGACTTACAATTAACCTAAATTAATATTTTTAACTGTCGTGATGATTAACTTAAAAGTTATTTTTACCTCAAAATAAGTTTTTTTACATTTTAGCTACATTTAAATTAAATAAAACTAATTAGTGTTATCTTTTGATACGTATTATAAATTGCAGACTTATATTATATGCATCGTAATTAACCCACTAATAACTGTAAAAGAACAGTAAAATATAACAAATAATAATACATATTTTAAAATTAAAAAATGAAGAGGTTCACAATAATTATTTATATCATAATTCATCGGTTTTATTTAAATTAAATTATATTTTATTAGTTGCTTGAATTTTCATTCTTTATCATAATATTATATACTTAAATACCTATATTTCTTAGTTCTTACTTACATCATATTACTTTTACATAGATATTTTTTTCAATTTGTATTACTTCATTTCAATTTCTATACGATCTCGTAGAATTACATTTTAAAAGACAATGAAAATAATATGATATCGAATAAAAAGTAAATAAACACCTAGGCATCTATATTTGTTATGGTTAACATGGCATTAATTAAAAAGTCTGTACTAGATTATTATGACGTCATATCGTATGATTAGCGAAGTAGTAATTACGAGTTGCTGGGAGCGCAAAAAAGGTACGATGTCGGTTTGCCAAGGTATTAGGAACTTAAAAAATTAGCACAAGCCGAAGGCAGAATCGACAATAACTGTAGAACGGCCAAGGTTACGATCGTCTCTGGTCGGAGTACAATAATTACAATATAATATCATATTTTATATGAAATTACTTTGGTCGGAAGTATCCATATACCTGTATAAAGGTGGTAGATACCTACCTACCTCGGTTTTAACTTCATTTTTGGCAAATCGTGACCCAGCAGTTATGTCTGTGCATAAATACATAATACGGTTTTCTCGAAGAATATACAGAATAATAACCGACGGTTACGTGTCAATGGTTCGCTCAAAGCCGAACGGCCAATATAGTTATTACTATAGAATAATACGAATAAATGTTTAAAAAGTTTAAGAAATCGTTTGGCGAGCGGCGATCGAGAGTTGTGGGTATATATTGTGTATATTATACGAGTATACGTTTACGGTGTTAATATACACATTGCAATAATATTATTACTATATAGGTATATGAATGCACGCAGACTACAATATTATAATATGATATTATTAATTAATTATGTAGAATATTCTAAGATACTTAAATCACACACTACACATTACGATGATAATAGTTGCAGTACAGATAAGAGATGCATGCAAAAACACCTGCACCATAGTAAAATGTAGGGCCTATACTTGCGAATGACAATATGTATTGTGTATAATAATAAGTATTATTTTGTAATTTGTATAATAAATTGTGCACATTGTTTTGTATGTAGTGTATAGTGAATACCGACCTGTGAATAGAGAATGGGAATGTTGACGTTATCGTAACCGATCAGCGATCCCAGCCTGTACCTCATATCGGACATCTCCAACAGTATTGTCTGTACCATATGATCGTTGGATATCAGTTTTTCTCTTCTGGCCCTGTTTATGATGTTGGTGGCCCAAGTCAACGGGATCCAGTAATTGGTCATCGCGGTCTTCGCTTCCACCGCTTCCAATATCTCCTTTTCGCTATCCATCATCAAACCTACGCCCGCCGCCATGTTTCAACAAAAAAATGCGTTTCGTCGTGGATAACGTTTTGTTTTGGTTTTTTTTTTTTGATTTTATTATACAATATCAGCCGTCGTTATATTTTCGTATCCTTATATAATATATTGTTCGCTAAACAGCGATATATTTATAATCGATTAAGTGGGATGGGGGGGTAAGGATAATTTAAATCTAAGACAGCACTACAGCAGTAATTGCAAATCATATGTCTAATAAACATTTTGGTCGGCCTTTTCCAAAACCAATGAAGTTGTAATATTTTCCATAGGTGTATTACAGGTATCTTATATCTTACATAACAACAAACGTTTTACGAAAGTCGAATTTATGAAACGGGAAGATCCGAAAAGAATAATAATTTACTGCAATTACAAAATGCGTAATGCACTGCACGCCCACGTACACGCGCGACAGACATATATACATATTGTACACATTTTATTGGGGTATTTCACATACATTTGAATAGTCTATAGTACCTACTCTTGTACAACATATTATTATTATTAAATTTGATTTCGTGTGTTGTACGTAAGATTTTTTTCAGAGATATTTGTTCTATAATTATAATAACATATTTAGTTAATCGGAAAATATGCAAAACAACAAACACTGTAATGATTTTGAAATTAATATGTTTACAATAATAATTCGAAATCAGTAGCAATACTTATAGTTATTAATGGAATGAAACTTGCACTGCACTGGTATGCAATAATAAAATAATTAATAATTTCGCTCGGAGAAACTATATAAGTAGAATGAAAAAAAATTATGAAGTATAAAAATAGCAACGGTTAAATATTTCTACGTTAAAATAACGTTCCTCTCTCTGTCGCCGTCTCTCTCTCTCTCTCTCTCTCTCTCTTTCTCTCTCTCCTTCAATAATCATGGTAGTAGGTACCTACCTACTACACTTTCTCCCGGCAATTAGATTACGTATGCAGCAGTGTGCACTTACAACAACTGGCTAATATAGGTACATACAACGAGTGCCTACTTATATATAATATTATATTATAATATACTTTTGCACTCGTCGCAACGTAATCGGGTGTAAATCGGGATGTAATTAACTATTTGTATGCATTGCGGGGTAACAGTCGACAAACACCACGCGCCAATAATTATTATATTATACGGCGATAGGTTTAGTAGGTATCATATAATAGGCAATAATATTATAATGACGAATAACGTCATGATTGATCTTCTGCTGCTGTTGGTGCTGCTGCTGCCGCTGCTGCTGCAGACGAACAGTGAGACGCGCGAGTTTAACGAACACGGCGGCTGCTCCAGCTGCACACTCTGACAATACCCAAATCCGACTCGGACGCGACCGGTGTGATTTTTTGGCGTTATTATTAATTATTCTCGAAGAAATATAAAATAATAATAATATATTATATTATATTACTGTCGTTGTAGTTGTAGTAGTAGTAGTATTTCGCGTTTGCATGCCTGACACATCTTGTGACAGGTGAAATTTATCTGCCATGCAAAACGTTCACCTTTCTGATGTTACACGCGGAGTTATCCTTATATTGTATAAACATATACATACAAACACACCGCCATATATCCGAGTGTACTGTGGTGTACATAATATATATATATATATATATAATACTTTAATACGTAGGTACATTATGTACCGCGGTATTTGTATTGTTATAATTCATTATGACGTACAAGTACATAATTAAGGCGATAACACACATAATGTATGTACTATAATTATATGTATATTACATACACACACACACACACACACACACACACACACACATGAGTATCGATACTATATGGCTAAAGCTTATTTCGTGTGTAACACTACGATTCAAATTTCAAACGCTGAACCTCGGCTGAGGTAGCTGGTATATAATATGTATACTATGTATGTGTTTCATAAAACCGAACCAACTATAATTTGGTAGGTAAGTGTCAAGTGATAATATAGAATATAATAAATATAAATTGCAATTTTGACTTAGACTAGATTCTGGTTGAAGAACGTAATAATAATATATAATATGCCACAATTTCGATTGTTCCAGTTCGACCCAACTGCAGTTATGTTTTAGATCCTCAGTCCTCAGATGTACATTTCTGTATGTAGTTGGTGAGTCTAGGATCACCGGGCGATTCTTTTAAATATAATACGACGTAGGTAAATAGTAAATACAATAATAAATATAATTAGAATAATATAAGCCAATATGTATCATGCACTTAATATTTAAGGATCCAATTTCCGAATGATTTTGTACATGCATTTTCTTTATTAGTGTTTACATGCACATGCAAAGCTTAAGCAGCATTAATAAAAAATAAATCACAAAAAGAATATAAATAATGTCACACCAAGAAATCAACACTTTTACTATTACGATTAAACAAATGAAATAACTACGGTTATTAATAAGTTAAATTATTATTGATGAATATCATGACGAGTCTTCCCGAGAGACCTGCTGTAATTATTAAGATTAATATTTTTTATATTATTTGAAACTGACGTTGTACGATAAACTTTCAAAAGCGTTAGCAACGAGTGTTCAGTGAACAAAGAAAAAAAAAATCAAACGAGTATATTATACTTTTTGAACAGACGCGATTTATTATTCGTGAGAAATGAGAACATAAAATCAGCAGGTGACCTGGGAAGAACAAGATGTACTTTTTAAAATGAAATGAAAATACAAATGAAACAAGAACGATGAAATGCTAAACAGAATAGATTTACATAAATAGGTATAGTCGGTAGGGTATTGGCAAAATGCTGACCTGTGTGTAGACGAGTGGCACGCAAACGGTATCATAGCTGATTATAGAACCCAGTCGGCGCCTGATGTCCGACAGCTCAACGAGAAGCGTCTGGACCACCTGGTCGCTGGATATGAGCGATTCCCTGCGAGCTCGATTTATGATGTTGGTCGCCCACACCAATGGCATCCAATACTTGGACATGGGGCTTCTCTCGTCCATCATTTCCACGATTTTTTTTTCGCTCTCCAACATGATTCCTGTGTCATGTCCAAGTTCGTTACATGTTCGGCAACATAGTCCCACCCCTAGCCATCAACCCCAACCGCTGAACCCCATACGCACACGGCCGTTTGTATCGAACGGTCGATCGACAGAGGTTATAATATGATATATGTTAAATATATTTTTATTTTTATTCTCATAAAATATTTCAACCACGCAACCACTAATATATTGTTGATTGTAAATTATGTATAAATAAATAAGATAAAACCGCGAAGACGTGGTGATGAAGTGAATATAAACAATCAAAAAATATCATAGGTACACGATAATAGGTGGGTACTGCAAGTTTTGAAGAAGAAGAAGAGTTTATTGAAAATTATATAGGTAGGCATAGATTTCTAAAAAATAAATGGATAAAGTATAACAATTAGCAAATAATCAAACCACTGTGGGTATACCTACTCGTAAAACAATAACATTCGCACAAATTCAAAATTCGCATTCATCCGCGAGAGATAACCGACTCGGAAGTGAAAATCCTTGAAACTTTGTTTCTATTAACAACACATATCATAATAATATATATCTATTATAATACAACATGTATTAGGAACGATTCTGTGCACAACAATAATATTACTAAATAATGTACACACACGTCACACCCCGATTCAAAGGTCACGAGAATGCGAAACAAAGAACTCGTGTACACTAATCATATAGGACGTTTTACAACTGCCGCCGCAGTGATGAGTGGGTATAATATGGATATACTTTCGTAGTCCAGCGAGACTGATCCATTGGCGGTTCAGCGACCGATAAATATTATTGAATTGGCGATAACTTTGTCTCAAGCTTTGACGTGGTTTTCGATACACCTAGAGGTGGATGACTGCAGAAGTGGCACATGTATAGGTAAGTTTGCGGAGAGACACTGAGTTATGATTATATTATTGGAAATAATAACGAACGACTTTCAACTTATGAAGTTATAACATACCTAACCATAATAATATCGTGACAATAATCGAGTAATAAGTGTGTGCGATACGCCGATACATAATAATATATTCGCTGTGCGACGATGACGTGTGATCGAATTAAGAATGACACGATGATAAAATTATGTCAGTTGACCATTGTCATTGTCAAAACTAATCCAATCGTAACGATCCCATCCCAGTGTTACATAGCATACCTATATAGAGAATACCTACCATATATTACATAGTTACATATAACATGGTATATTGTACAGTATACAAACAGCCTTGCACTCTAAAACACTACCTACCTACTTACCACTATTGGGCATTGTTCAAACATTATTATACCGCACGCGTTATACAGGATAATCCATTTGATAGCAAAAATTAAAATTCGTCGATTTTTTTATGAAAATTGATTTGAAAAATGAGGGTAACCGTCAATCTGCAGGATAAACGAATCGCCAGTTACCTTCTTATATATTTATTATTATTTCCATTTCGACATGGCGGATTGAAGCTCTGCAGGCTTCGAAATTTGCCGCAGGCACCAAATGTGTGCAAAAGATGCAAAACTATATTAGAATATTATCTGCTCGGTCGTTTTATTTTTACGCTATGCCAATAATATTTTATTGTACGATTAAAAACTTTGTTAGTGTTTATGACGAAAAATGAATAATGACTATGTGATGACGGTACCTAAATATCAATAATATACAATATGTCTCTCACGCATAGGTATATCAAATTAATAAAGCTGTGCCTACATCGCGATGTTATCAAAAGACGATGTTCGAATGTAAATCTGATCGACGTAAATCTACGGAATGATCCAATTTATTCTCAAACCGCTTCGAAACAAAAAAACAGTCGCACATTCTTTGAATAAATTGATATGCAACAGGTTCTGGGTTAGTCCTATGCGCGAAAATAAAACCGGTCGAGGCTCGGGCACCACGTGTCTGAAGAGATATAATTATTAATCAAGTCGATAATAAACAATGTTGCGGTCATTTAAAACATTTGATAAAGTAGTCATAATATAGTTTATTATAATGTAGGCTATCGCTGGCTGTTTATGTACCTACTCGGGTATAATTTTATTACAATATATTCAGACGGCACGTCTTGCATTTTTATATATACACACATCGAGATTGAGTACTCACCGGCGTCGACGATGTGTTGTAATGTGGGAAATCGTTTTTTCACCCTTATGCTCACTTGCTTCAAGGTGATGACATAGGCTAGTACAGCGTACCTCACTATGTTCCTCCTCATTAGCCGCCCTCTCTCGTCCTGAAATAAACAATATCATGTTATTTTTTTATAACGATTCGATTCCTTATAAAACAAAACCTTAAAATAAAGCATGCATACATGCCTTAAAAAAAATCATCAATTAATATGTGCTTTAAAAATACCCAAAATTGTTTAGGCCTTTTATAATCTCAAATGGTATTTAATAAACCACCTAAACGTACCTAGTTGAAATATATAAACAATAATAAAAAGTAGATAAGTGATGGATGTCGCTCTGCTATACAATATATTACAAGTGGGTCACTGTAATATATGGTGTTAAATTTGAATTCAATGATATAAAATCATTGTATACGAAAAAAGATTCTGAGCGAAGACGGTCTATCAGTCTATAATATTACTAAGAAGTTTAGTATATTTGGTGATATTATTATGATTAAGGTAATTTATTTTAATAGTAAGCATTAGTACAAACAAAAAAACATAAATCATTATTCTTGGTTGTATAATATGTAATTTGGTCCACATTCGAACATGAAAAAAAATTAAAAAATAAACTGTGCTTAAATATTTTTAGATATTTGGTTACAGAATAACCCACTTGCGAGGAACTTTGTTATAAATGTTCAACCCTTGGCTATAAAATTTGAAAATTTAAAAATATTTTAGCTATAAAATTATTTGTACGTTTTGAATGATATGAAATTTGTCAACATTTAAAATTTAAATGCTTCTAAAAAAAAATCGTGCCTATGTATTTTTAATATTTTTCAATTGATATTGTAAATATACGTATATCAGGAGCCTTATATTACATTTTCAAGCTTTTTGATCCAACAAATAAAATTGTATTAACAATTATAAAAAAAACAACTAGGTAAAACAAATGAAAATTGAAAATGTCCGTAAACAGCTCAAAACGAGTCAAAATATTTTGAAAATTGTATCAAGTATATGAATAAATAAAATAAACGCATATGGTGTAAATTTCAAGTATCTATAGTTATTCGTTTTTGAATTACAACAAAATAGAAAAATTGTTCCATGAGAAATCAAGTGAACATTAATGTTTTAAAAATTTCAACTTCAAACATTCATACAAATCTAATACAAATTATTGTCAGTAAGTATTAATCTATATAAGTACTATAGGCAAATATACTTTTAATCGATAATACCAGTAGGTATTGTTAGTAGACAATTATTATTTTTTGTTTCCCTCTGTGTTAATGGAAATTGTAATAAGTAAACGTTACACATTTTTATGATTTTTGTTAATATGGACATTACTAAGAAAATATGAATCTTTAGAAACAATAACTTATATATTTTTTACTTATATCAATTAATTAAAAAATTAACCGAGCCTACGTTCAATGAGTGTCAACAATAATTGCCCTACACCAGTTGTAAGACTTTTAGTAAAAACTGGTTTTGGGGAGGACTTAGGGAAATAAACTATGGTAATTGTACGTGTTAATTGATATTTATAGAACCCCTGAATTTTAAACAGATTTGCACCTATGATTACCATGTCCAATTATACTCGAGTATGCAGTCCGTTAGAATATAATATAATATTGTGTTCTTATAATATATTATTAATTATTATGTTATGTATTATATCATTAAATAGGCACTTACCGTCGTTCCGGGTATCGCCGCACTTGCGAAAAGAGCTAACGTATCGGGCCAAGGTAATAACCTATACTGTTCCCACCATCGTTTTACCACCAGACCGACGTAGAAGCTCATAGCAAACGTCAACGGGACACTCGCAGAATGACCGGCCAAGTAACACCGGATTTTTATGAACAACCTAAAAACACAATACAAGATCATCAGTCCAATCATTGCCTAGTTCTATAGCATTAAAACGGTTTCTAAGTACAATAATTGACTCGTACAGAATAGTGCTATCGATTTGGAATGTTGGTGATTATTAACTTAATAGATTAATAATATACTCGTGTAGTAGTATAAGACATTCTTTATATGAATTAATATAGGTATACCATCAATGTCTGGTATATAGGTATACCTATAATACTTGGGCACTTAATTTCCTAACTGCTTATAGAGTATATAACTGTCTTGTGTAATATTTATATAGGATTTTAACTATACGAGTATCAAACAGAAGTCACCAACAATCCAAATGTTCGCATTAAGAGGCCGTTTAGTGTATATGCTATTTATTTTAATGTAATTTTTAATGTTTTAACATACTTTTGCTGGGCTTCCGTGAATGCAAACCTGTATGCTAAATTTATGGCAAAATAAACCACTAAATAGGCAGCTAATTCCCTCCATACAAGCTTGTAGACGCTTCCTCGCCATCTAGAATAATGTTAATTATTATTTACCATCGATTAGGTATAAGAAAAAAATCAATAAAATATGTTTATAAATTATTATATTTATGTATTGAAACATAAACATATGTATAATTAATACAATTATTAATTACACCATTACCGTAATTACAGGTAAATAATTGAAACTTCAAGTTTCAACAACTAACTTAGTTTGTTATTAATTTTGTACATGTAAATTAGAACTTTTCTATTACATCAACCACACTTATTAGATACCATAGCCCATAGGTACTATTTAAGTGCGAAAATCTGTTTATTTGTCCATAGTTTAATATACCTCTATCGAGTTTATCGTATATTGTATTCTAACCTTTATGCAGATCATATACTTATCAAAATGTATGAGTTTTAAGTGTAAAATCTAAAAATATATTTTTGTAACTAATCAAACGTTTGAATTACAGCAATGAAATTCATTGTTAAAAATGTGTGTCTATTTTTTTTTTTAATTATGCAATTACTATTTATAGGTGGAGTTAAACGTTCAGTTAAACTGCGCAAACAGACCGTATGAACTCAAATTTGCACAAAATAACTTTATAGTCTGTATGTGTAAATGAAAATCGTATGGCTGCACAGTTCAACATTTTGAACTTCGAGTTCAGGAGATGTCTGAAAAAACCTGTGCAGTTATAGTAGCACAAAAACATCAAGATATCTAGCACCCAATTACTATTTAGTTAGTCATGTACTACTATTTTTGATAGTTCATATTATACACTATTAGGTTATAATAAGTATATTACAATTTACAACTAATGCAGGACCCTAAATCGATGACCAGAGCTTTGAGCCAAGAATAAGTTCAAATACTGTGAGTACCTACAGTATTGTAAAGCTAGGCTTTTTATTATAATCTAGTTATCTATTATATAGCGATTAGTGCCGAGTTAGGTCAATACTTGAAAACACTTGTTTACAGATTTAAATTGCATTAGTAATCGGCAACATAAAATAGTACCAAATAACTACATAATTGTACATAATAATTTTGGAGTAACCGAACAACTTTTCTACATTCATCCAATACTTGATAATCATGTGTAGGTATTTAATTAAATATAATGTTCATACATAATGTGCATTGAAATTAAAATATAACAGTTGATGATTGTACACCTATAATAGTATCCAAATCAACTTATATGGTGGCTAGTTTATTTTTCTGGATAATGCGTACCTTAATAAGATAACAATTTAACTATACCGAAGAAAAAATGTAGATAAAACTGCTTCTATTATAATATTATCGTTATTGATGTACCATGTACGCGTAATACAGTGAACAATATACGAAATACAATAGTCGTCGCTCAATGGTGGTCAAATGATTTTGTTATAAGGTGAAGGCAGGAAGATGTGGCTGATTTTTAACATGCACTATTTAATCATTAAAAATATAATTTATGGTTATAAGATCATAAACATTGAAAAAAATGTCATGGGGATCTATCCTCCCACTCCCAACTGTTTGACCACCACTGTAGTCGCTTATTGCACTCACTTTGGGATCTATTTTGAGTCTATTAACCGAATGTATGAATGAGGCAAAAGGCTAAAGAATAAAAAATACATATATTATATTGTATTTGTTGTAATGAAGTGATTTATAAGTGAAATAGGTCAATTAGGCAATGTAGGTAGGTTCTAAATTCTCGTTACCTATAGCCTATAGGTATTCATTATATTCACTAAACTGAATGCATATGTATTTTACAATTAGAGTCAAATCAATAAAAATATTCAAAATGTACCTAATTATTAGCCATTTATCCAATAACACATGTACTTAATTGACCCTGTTAACCGGTGTAACGATTTTTTTTTCAAGTGCAAATGGGGACCAGTCTGTTTGAGGCGTTTGAGCCCAATAGGTGAATAAGTTAATTAACAGTTAGTTCAATAAGTGCAAACTACTAAATTATAATACTTTGTTTTTCCATCCAAATTTTAACTTTTATATTATTATTGTATGTTTAACGAATCAATACGAGTTACTATAATTTTACTTGTACAGTTACTTGAATGATACTTATATATAATATAATATTACACTGAATATCATCAAAAATTTTAATGTCTACGCGATTATTTTTCAACGGTATTCTCATTTATCGATATCATTTTTTATTTGACGGAAAACGTCGGATGTGCAATTATTGTGGAATAACTGAACATTTTAAATAACAAACCATTCAAGCCATTTTTAAAGTTACATACAGTTATTATAAATAATTTAAATTGTATGAAGTTGGCCAATAACCATGTGTTTGATGCCTTAAAATAACGATATTAAAAGAAAAGTTACATATCATTATGTAAATTCGAGTTAGGTATATTTGTAGGTACCGATTGTTATCATAATGTCTCTTACAAAAGTGTATGTAATATCACAGGTGCGCAATAATGTTATATGGCCTTTTTTTTAAACGGTGTGCTTTTTTTTTTTTTACTTTCTTCGGGTCTACGTACTATAACTAAATAAATACAATAAATACAAGCAAGGCTAACCAGTTCAGATGATTTATGGTATCGTAAAATTATTTCAACGAATCTTAAACGTTGACTATACCTATTTAACTTGAGACTAATAATTCCTCTGCAGTAGCACTCACTAAATAACCGGGATAGGTAAATTGACTGATATCTATAATTATCAGTAAATATCACAGTAGCAGATTACTAGCTAGTACCTAAACACACATTATTAGGTGCATTGCAGTCGATAACCATAATATTCGAATTAGGTTAACTCATTTTCTATGTAATGTTTAAACACACTCGTATTTTAAAAATATACGTTTCTATAAATCGACGAGATTGGTTTAAATTTTTAATAATTTTAATATGATATGTATATTATTAAATATATAATAATATATAAATAATAATCCTGCTTATAACCTATAGCCAGAAAATGTTTATATGTTATTTTGAACGTGTTTCCTGATCATGAATTCATATAAGTATTGTAGGTGTCTATTATAGCAAGTATACCTGTTATATTAAATTACTAATACTGTCGTGATTTCGGATTCTAAGCCGCGGGGGTATATCACCTAAGTATATCCAATATCGATGATATAGGTATCCTCAATTTGCCCATATTATTATTGCGCCGAAAAATTCGAACATATTCACCATAGGTACGCCTATATAATAATGAAACAACGCGCATATAATATTATTCGACCACGTTTTGTAGGTGTGATCCGTACGAAAACCTGAAATTTAAACGTATAGTATTGTGAATAATAATAATAATAATAATAATAATATAATATATGTTAATGTGATACCTCGTTTCGAATTCCGTGTTTTACGGGAATGGCGATTTGCATAATACTTTTATTGTCATATCATAACGCGAAAAAATACATATATTATCATATTATGAGACGGTTTAAATAATATTATATTATTATTATTATCACACAAATATAATGATAATATATACACAATGGTTTTACGGTGTATCGGCCTCGGAGCAGGCGTGCATGGTCAGCAAAGTGCATTCTACAAAGGATAACCGCATTTTATAGATACGATTTAGTAGTGGAAATAGAACCGGTCATAATATCCTATACCAATAGAATATATATAATAATAATAAATAATAATATAATATAACCGGTCTATCGGACACCGCCCTCTGCGCAGGCAGGCACTGCGGTACGACGTGAACTAGGCTATTTATCTCACCTGGTAGCGAGTCTTCCAGCCGCCGATTCAGATTTCCTGGTCTGCAGTAGGTATAAAGTTTTGATTACATTCCGTTCGACTAGCCAGCATGCCGATAAGGACGATTTCGGTAAAACGACCTAATCCAAAAGCTGAATGAAACTATCAAGTCCGCGAGACGACTTACTAGTGTGTATTCGTGAATAACGGGATGTACATACAATAATAACCACTTGTACGACTTATAAGTCAAGCATAACAATATAATACATAATATACAATAAATCTACATGAATTGTGGGATCACTCCGACAACACTGGACATTGACTGCAGTTGAATTCAAACATTGATTAAATGTTTTAATTATTTAATACGAGTAATAATGATATGTCGTTTAAGCGTTTAACCTATTTCATAATATTTTTCTATACATATATTATACGTGAACGTATCGGCCTTCCGCAATATTTTTACGCGACGCCTAACCACTTCGTCGCATAGGAAATTTCATCACACAAATGTATACTTACACTACACACATCCTACTAGGTGATGCACATGGCCGGGATTTCCTTAAAACATGAGTTCTCATTTTAGTTCTCTCGGAAAACAAGCCTGATTTCTGCCTTCTACAAACGCATAGAATAGCAAACTGGTATACATAGCTATAATTGATATAATTTAACATAATAGACTTTATGTCTGGTGGCGATTTTACGTCATATACACGAAATATAATATAATTACCGGTGGAATTAGAGTGGTAAGTGGTTACGATAAATAATGTATTAATTATATAAAAAAGTTTTTTTTTGGCAGCAACAGGCAATCGCCCGCAGCGGGTCTGTGTACAGTAAAATTATATACATGAAGACTCAAAAATAAAATATCCTAGAGATAAAAAAAATTTAAGCCTATATGTATACACACCAGAGATTATCATTGATTTTATCATAACATTATATATAATTGTGTCATATACTGGCAAATTATATACAATGTTGAATGTGATTAACCGATCAAGCTCACCTTCGTCAAATTATTTAGCAGATCATTTTCTGAACATTTTGAGGCACCAAAATCAAAACTCGAGAATGGTTTTTGAGTTATTTAACTTTGTGCTCTAAAGATAGTAGATCTATTTTATAATAGGTTTGAATGATATGGTGATGACATTAACATTTTAGTAATTAATATAGATCTATCAACACATATAAATTTTTAACAATGGTACAAATACTAGAGTCAATATAGCATATATTTTATATTCTAGTAAAACG